TATATATACATATGTATATCACATCTCTCTCTCTCTCTCTCTCTCTCTCTCTCTCTCTCTCTCTCTCTCTCTCTCTCTCTCTCTCTCTCTCTCGTCTCTCATTCGTTCTCTCCCCCGCCCGCGCCCGGTAGCCTCTGGCCGCCAGCGCCTGGGCGCGCCAGAGCAGCTCCGCCACGTCTCCCCGTGGGGGAATCTTCGGGCAGCGCGCGTGGAACCCCAGGAGCAGCTCCCGCGGGCGATGGCGCCCGATCTCGCCCAGCTGCAGCGCCCTGCCCTCGCCCCTCTCGCCCTCGTGCCTGGGCGCCAACGCGCCAGCGGCCGCGCATCCCCCATCCTGACTCTCCATCCTGACCGTGCATCTCCAGCCGCCGCGCCGCCCACGCCCTTCCTGACCCCCCATCCTCTCGAGCATGCCTTGGAACGCTGGCAGGGGCGCGAGCTCGCTGACATCGTCGACTTGGTCCTCGAGGACGGGCGGCCACTTGGTCGGCTCCTGCGCGCCCTCGGCGGCCGCGCCCATCTCCGCCTGCGGGCCAGCGGTGGCCGAGGCGGGGCCCTGCGCCTGCGCGACGTCGTCCAGCGCCGCGCCCACGGGGGCGCACTCGGCGCAGGCCAGGACGCAGCCGGTCCCAGTTGCGAGGGGGAGCGGTCCACGGTCTGCGAGGGGGAGCGGCTGGCGGGGCCCGATCGGCACTGCGCGCCCGGCTGATCATACAGAATCATACACTTAGTCGCGCTGCTTCAAGAATCGCGCCTGGGCGTCGCACTCCGCCTCGTCGACGTGTAGCGCCACCTCTTCCTTCGTGGTTTTCGGAACTCTCCTGCTTCTGCCCTCGTCGTCATCCGCGCCCGCGAAGACGGCTGGCCCATGGTCGAGCACCCCCCTAGCCTTTGCAATTCGCCGGCCCAGCGGGCCAGAGGCGCGCTGAGATCTCCGGCAACTGCTTCGCAGTCATCCTACTTCGCGCGTGGGGCGGCCCCTGGAGGCCCCCGGGCGGAAAGTGCCCCGTGCCGGTCCTGGGCGACCCGGGTCAGAGATGGCTCTCCTCCTGGGCGCCGCCTCGAGGCCGCCCAGAGAGCCCCGAGAAAGGCCGGGAAGCCGCCAAGAGCCCCTCAGGATTATTGAAGAGAGCTCGAATGCCACGAGATCGCTCCAAGACGCCCATGAGCCACAGGACGGCCCGAGGGGCCTCCAAGAGCACCCTCGAGAGGCCCCCCCCCCTCCCCCCACTGCTTCTCACAGGTTTGGGAGAGATTGTGGCGTTTTCACCTTTTCGGCCCCCCGACACCCCAAGACGGCCCATGGCACCCAGGGCCGCCCCAAGAGGGCCCAAGGTCCCCACGAGGGCCCCTAAGACGGCCCAAGAGGCCTCCCAGACGGCCCACTCAGGCTCCAAGAACGCCCCAAGAGAGGGCCCCAGGGGGGAACACGAAACAACGCGTTGAGCCCTCAGCCCCAAGAAGCCCCCAGGAGGGAGGCCCCTAGGAGGCCCCACGAGGCCCCCAACAAGCCCTGAGGAATTCCCCAACACGCCCCCAAGCGGCCCCAGAGGACCCCCAACTGCCCCCCCGAGCACGCGAGCAAGCGCCAACGACCCGACGCGCTTAAGAATCCAAAAGGCCACCAACAAGCCCCCCGAAGAAGCCCCCATAGGCAAAGCGCCTCCAGACGGCCCGCGACGCGTTCAAGACGCCCCCAGCGACCACCGAGAAGCCTCCCGAGATAGCCCCCATAAGCAGGAATACGTAGTTCCCGGTGGGCTGGCGGAATGAGCGAAGCGAATCAATTACCCCAGGGCGCAGTTTAGAACGTGTGCGGCAATGGCACATGCAGCCAGAAAGGCCCTGCTGCCCGAGAGCGCGGCCCATGCGACATCGGGCCGGCCCGAGCGAACGCGGAAGGGCGCAAGGCCAAATCGCCACGGGTGGAAGACCACAAAGGTGGCGACGGCGAAACTGCTGCCCGGCGCGACCGACAAGCAGCCGCCAAAATCAAGCGTCGGCCATCACTAACTGCCAAGCGCAACATCTCCGACGCACCTACGATTGCGCACTTCTCGCCCGCAAGCAGCGACTGGGAGGCCCGCGCGGCCCCCGCGAACCACATGGCGTTTGAAGGTCGACGCAAGTGGCCGTCGCAACGATCTGCTCGCATGGCTGCAATGCGTCATCTGCGGAGCCATGCCCCGACGACGCGACGAGAAGCCGCAGCTCTCGGCAGCAGCGCGCAACCAGAAACATGGCCACAAACTCTGGCACATGGACGTGACATGCGATCGAACAGGCAGAACGGCGCTTCTGACACCGAGCTACGATGACACCAGTGGTCAGGGTCATTTCCCTGCACCTCGCGAGAACCACCACGTTCAAATCCAATGGCGCGGTAGCAGCAGTCGCCTCGCGATCGCGCGAATGCACTTGCCCGGCCACGGCCGCGGGAGCGGCCGCGCCAATCGCGGCCCGCTCGCGTAGCCAGCGGCACGGCCACTGGCAAATATATCACCGAGACATGCCCATCGGCATGCGCGTCGTACACATACACGAGCAGAAACAAAGCAACAACAGCTACAACAAATACAACAACGCGCGCGCTGCAAAGGAAAGGGCGCACGCGGAGTCTCCAATCGGAGAGGCGCCTTTCAGCATGTAAGCGCACCCGCAAACCTGCGCGCACCGCGGCCGCGAGAAGAGCTGCGAGCGCAGCCCCTCGCACGGCGGAAGCGCGCGACCAGTCTGGGCCATGCTTAGCCGCATGGGCTCAGGAATGGCAGTCACCATGGGCGCGCCGCAGCGGCGTGCCCATATGCGCACGCTGCGATTCAACGCGCGCGTCCGCGCAATTCGCGCTGACGTCGGCGCAACTCCACGGCGACGCCAGGGCCGCGCGAGGCGAACGGCGACCGCGACGCACTCTGCGACGCGATGGCGCACGGACGCCGCGCGCGGAACACTTGCTGTAAATGAGCCGCGCGCACATGCCGCCCCCGAGCCAAAATGGCAACGGGCCGCGCGCGCTGCGCGCGGGGGTGGGGGCGGGGGGGTGGGGGGCGGGGGGGCGGCGCGAGGGGGCGCGCGGCGGGGAGGAACGGCGCGCGGCAAGCATTGCCCGGGTGCCGCGCTGTCTCACGCCGCAAGATCGGAGCAGCAAAAATTCGCACCGCGAAGGGCGACGCCACAGACGCGCGGCGAATTCCGCCAGCCCTGTTGGCGCAGGTGGTCTGGGGGGGCTCCTCTTCCAACCCTTTTCTTCCCCGTCGGAGAGGGGTTTGCCCCCCCCCCCCCCCCCCCCCCCTCCCCCGCGCCCCGCCCCGGACCTGGGCGGGGCGCCCCGCGAGCGGCCGGGGCACCCGAGATAGCCAACGATGGCTCTGGGAAGGCCTCAGAGACATCGAGATGACCTCCAACATGGCTCGAATTAGCTCGACGCGGCTCATTCGGGCCCCCGAGATGCTTCACGAGGTCCCAAGACCGCTCCAAGACTGCTCCGAGCGGCCACGGGGCCTCCACAGGGGGCCGCCAGCAGGCCGCGGCCGTTCGAAATCCAGAAAAGGTTCCACGATGTTTGCTTCGCATTTTCGCCCTCAAGACAATTCCGAGGAGGACGCCCGAGGGCCCCGCGAGAAGCCCAGACGAGCCCCAAGACGGCCCCATGAGCGCCCAAGAGCGCTCCAAGAACGCCCCCCAAAAGAGGCCCCAAGAGGCAAGAGGCGATATTTCGGGCCCCCAAGGGGGGGGCGTCGGACTGCGAGCCGCCTGCGACGACGGCCTCGCGGGCAGAGCCCTGGGAGCCCGGGGCCGCCATCGACCCGCCCGCGAACGTCGCCGCGCGGTCCAGGTTGGCAAGCCAAGACCATGGCCCCATAGGAACTGACATTCTAAATTGCTGCGTCTGTTTGGTGAGTCTCGTTTTTCTGTTCAGTAAACTGTCGTTTCTCTTTGGGTCGAAACATGTTTTTCCTTCTGGCAATTTAGGCAATGGCGTCTTCCGACTAGAAACTGGTGTTCTAAAGCGTGAGGGCCGGGGGGCGAGCGCGCGCGAATGGCTCCAGATGGCCCTGGCGACGCCAGCTCGGGTGGGCCCATGCCGACTCGGATTTCGACGCAGCGGCGGCGGCGGACCTGGCCGCCGAGGCGCATCTTCAGCGGCGGGGCGCCGAGGGTCTGAATGTGATAGGGGTATCTCATGTTGCTAGCAGTTGTATCGAGTCTGTTTCATGTGCATCATTATCGCCCGCTGCTACCGTTATCATTGAAGTGCGCCGCCGCCACCTCGGATCAGGCGAGGGTGGGCGGGATTCCATTATGGGTGCGCCTGCGAGTTCGCAGGCAGTGGCGCGCTCTGGGGACGTGCCAGAAAAGATTGCGAGGGCAGCGGGCGCCCTCTTCATTTCCCTCATTGTGGTCCGACAATCAAGCGTCAATATTCTTTTTTTGTTTTTTTTTTTTTTTTTTTTTTTTTTTTTTAAAAAAAAAAAAAAAAAAAAAAAAAAAAAAAAAAAAAAAAAAAAAAAAAAAAAACGCTCCTGTTTTGGAGGAGCTCGAGGCCCTGGACTTCCTGGTCGTGGACCTCTTTCGGGCTCCTTGGGATTCGGATTGGTAGCGGGGCCCGTGGTTTCCGCCGCGGGCTCCCACCAGTCTCGCCGCCACGGCGTCGAGCGGCGCGGCCTCTACGACCTCCAGGGTGGAGGTGCCGACGTGGAACGGGGAGGCCGACAAGCTCTCCAGCTACCGCTTCGAGGTGTCCATGTTCGCGAAGAGCGTGCGCGTGGCCGACCGCTACGTCTGCGGACCCCAGCTGGTCCGAGCGCTCGGACCGCGCGTGAAGGGCGCCGTGGAGAGCTGCCCGAATATCGACCTGGTGGACACAGTGGACGAAGACGGCCGCCTCACGGGCTGGAAAACTGTGTGCGAGTACGTGCTGGACAAGCTGGACTACACGAGCTTGGCAGAGGAGTTCTTATGAGCTGGACGACACGGGCCTGCTGGCAGAGGAGTTCTTCATGAAGACATCTCGGAACGCTGGAGAGACGTTCCAGGACTGGGCGGCGCGGTTCGAGAAAAAGGAACGCGAGCTGCTCACACAGCTGCAGGCCATCGACGTGAACGTGCGCGAGGTGATCGCGAAGCCGCTTCGTACATGGTGGTTCCTTCGGAAGTCACGGCTCACTCCAGTGCTACGAGGAGAAGTGACGGCGACCGCGGGAAGAGACTTCGACTTTGCGAAGACCTACCGGACGCTCCTAACGCGCTTCCCGGCGGACGCGCTGGCCGATCTGGACGGCGAGACGAAGCGCGAGAAGGCCCTGCACGAGAACGACGCCAACGAGGACGACTGCGAGACTGGTGGTGATCCAGAAGACCTGTACGAGATGGTCGAGCAACTGATCAACATCGCGGAAAACGAGGACTTCGAAGAAGAAGAAGAAGAAGAAGCTGCTGACCAGGAGGCGGACAACGAGGTGCACGCCCAGTTTCGACAGGCAGGACGGAGCTTCAAGGACGCTCGAGATCTACTTCGACACATACGTGTGGCTCAGGACTTCTACCCGGTGGTGGCGCCCAAGAGCGAGCTGACGGATCAGCGGGCGGCACCTCATCCCGAGAGCCGACCGCGACCTCCTGGCAAGGGACGTGGACGGGGTCAAGCCGATCGTCGCGTGCGATTCGAGTCAGGCCGTGACATGGCCAAGATGACGTGCATCCTGTGCCGTCAGTTCGGTCATCGCGCCAGGGATTGCCCGAACAAGAACAAGCTGACGACGAACACGAGTGGCGATAGCCACAACACCAACAACGGCTTCATCCTGTCGGCCCTGGACGAGTACGTCTACTTGCTGGAGCTCGAGGGGATCTGGGCCATCCTGGACATCGGAGCGACCAGGAGCTTAGGCAGCATCGAGAGCGTGGAGAACCTGATGTACGATATGCTGGATCAGCACGGGGTCGAGAGTTCGAGACGAAGGACGAGGTCTGCTCCTTCACCTTCGGGAACGGGCTTCGGAAGAGCTCCATGGGGTCGGTCACTGGCAAGGTGTTCGCGGGCCCCAACCTGCACCCCGTGAGCCTCTCGGTGATGTCGAATCGGGCCCCCATCCTGCTGGGCATAGACATCCTGGCTGACGACCTGAAGGTAGTCGTGGACTGTGGGCGGAACTGGCCGGGCTTGCCGACTCTTGGGAATAAGGTCTTCTACTGCGAGCGGCTCTCCAGCAAGCGCCTGGCGATCAACCTGTCGACGCCGCAGTGGTGGCGAGAGGTGCCCTTACCCTTGACGCCAGCTCGCTCAACGGAGAATCCGATGGAGGCGGGCCTAGCCGTACTGGACGAGAAGCCGGAGGAGCCCGGCACGGGCGGCGCTGGCGGTCTTGCCGCGCGCTAGGGACAGCGCCCCCTGGTGGTGGCGGCGAGCGAGATTCCATCTCCATCGTCATCTTCATCATCGGGGGGGCCCAAACGTCATCCTCCAGAAGCCTCGAGAGGACCCCGTCGACAAGACCGTTCCGAGAAACCTCCAGCATCGTCCGAGACCCCTTCATCACCGAGCCAAACCTCTAGTTCTACGAGAGTTGCGGAGACGAGTCGAACACGTACGTTACCGATGCCGACATCGAGCCGATCAAGACCGTCGTCGATGTCGAACGAGACCCGAACTTCACATATGAAAACGCTATCTCGGAGCTGTTTTAACTGTAGGTGTTTTACGGGATCAACGGGAACTCTTGGGACCAGATGCAGTGGACCTCCTACGTCAGAGCTACTTGGGAGCCCAAGGGGAACCTTGCCGTCCAAACAGAGCCTGAGAAAGGTCCAAGAGATAACCAAGTCCGAGCCTCAGCCTCGTGTGGCCCAAGAGTGTTGCGCTCCCACGCGTGTGGACCGCCGTTCAGTTTCCATTTCATATACTACATATTCGAGCCACAGCGGCTCCAACTCCGTGGATGTCATGCAGCAGATCTTCTTCGGCGCCCTCATCGGGACAGCCGCCGCCGCCAGCGTCGCGGCCAGCGTGGGCAGTCCCTCGGTCAAGGGCCCCACCAACGGAGGCGTCATCAGCACCAGCGAGCTCGACGGCTACCTCAACAGCGGCGCCACCTACGCCAACACCAGCACTGCCGAAGGCACCTCCCATCAACAGTCCGTCAACTCCGACATCGACTTACGACCCAGCGGGGAAGTGTTCATGTTGTGGCGAGAGAGGGAGGACGAAGCGCGGATGCAGCTGCGTGGGGGGCAAGAGCCACTACTGCCTACGACTGGTGCCCATCTACGGACCGCCACCTCCTCCAGCAATGTTGGCTGCCGTGGCCAGCATGCCACCGCCGCCGTTGCCAACGCAGACGGGGACCTACGTGCCGCCACCGCCGACGCCAGCGCAACTGGCCCCTCCGAGATCGAAGCGTTCATGCTGCGGGGCGCCCAATCGGACCAAGCGGGGTTGCAGCTGCACGGGCGGGAAGAGCCATCAGTGCTTCAAGATGGTGGAGCCCGAGGACCCGCAGGCGGTGGATATCAGGAGCCAAGCCGCGGCTACGCGCTGGAGGCAGCTCGCGACGAAGTTGGCCAAGAGGGACCCCGAGGGCCCGTGGGAGTTCCTGCCCAACGAGAAGGACGCGATGCTGGACGATTCCGAGCTGCCGGAGGCCATGAAGAAGAGATCTCGCTGAAGCACCTGGACAGGGCGAACCTTCAGAAGTTCTACCAGGTGAAGGAGAAGATCGATCAGGGGATCTACCAGAACGTGGCGACGGACATGCTCGAAATTACGAAGACGAAGCGCGTCGACTTGATGGAGATCTGCTGCCTCGAGACGTCAGCTCTCGGACAAGCCGTGCTCTCCCAAGGTGGCCTGGTCGCACGATGTGGTTGTTCAACGGCTACGACATGGCAACCGCAACTGGACTGCGACGAGCTGTACATCTCCTGCGTCGGACCAGGCCCAGACGTCTGGTACTCAGCCCGCCGTGCACCGCGGACTGCCCGATTCAGAACCTCAACCAGAAGACCGAGGACCAGCGGAAGCAGCTCATGAATAAGATACGTCAGGCCCGTCGTATTCAGCGCAACTGCCTCTTGCTCTACGAGGAAGCCAAGAAGATCCTAGATTGCCACATCGACCTGGAGCAGCCATGGAACAGCCGCAGCTGGAAGCAGTCACCACCTCTCAGGAAGATGCGGTCTGAGATGCACGAGACGATCATGCATGGGTGTGCGTATGGACTCCGAGACGTGCGTTCTGGGCTACTGATGAAAGGCTGGCGCGTGTGCTCCACAGACTCGGAGTTCGCCGGGAAGCTGGGCCGTCACTGCTCTAACCGACCTGGACGTGGTCGCGCAGACGGCCTACTACCCGCCAGCGCTGTGTAAGGCCTGGGCGAAGCACATCCTGAAGAAGAGCGACAGCGCGCAGTTCGGCATGGAGATCTTCACGAGCCTTGAGCAGGTCCCAGAGGAAGACGACATCGAGATGCCAGACGTCGAGGACGACACAGAGGACATCGAGATGGAGGACGCCGCGACGACGCTCAAGGGCTTGGGCCTCGACAGCGACCTCTCGAGAACTCGAGAAAGGAGACGCTCGAGATCGAACATCGGCTCTCTCGGCTTCACCGTAACCTCGGACATCCCAGTAACAGGACGCTCTACAATATCCTGAAGGCATCAGGAGCACCGACCCAGGTCCTCAAGTTAGCCCTGGAGTTCAAGTGTCACGGCTGTCATGTTGGGAAACTGCCTAAGGCTGTTCGAGTGGCCTCGGGAGTGGAGATCCCTGGGGTGCTTGAAGTACTGGCATCGGATGGTGTCGAGTGGTTATCTCCCGACCAGAGCACACACTTCATGACGCTGAACCTGGACGAAGGCTCTGGACTCACCAGCGTCACGTATCACGGCAAGAAGGGCGACCGGAGCAGCAACCGCACAGCCAAGGAGGTGATCAGCACTTGGGAGTCGTGGTGTACTCACTATCGCCGACCTTCTCTCCTACGTCTTGACGCCGAGGGCTGCCACTGCTCTCAAGCCGTGGCCAAGTGGACATCGGACAACGGCATCGAGATGTGAATCGCACCTGGTGAAGCTCACTGGCTGATGGGCAAGGTCGAGAGAAGGATCCAGCTGTTCAAGCGCCTGGTGACCAAGATGGCCCACCACGATCCAGAGTGCTCAGTCGACGAACTGGTATCCTGGGCAGTCAGCGCCATCAACTCCATGGACAAGGTCGGGAACCACTCCCCCTTCGAACACGTACTGGGAGTATCGGGGATGTCTGCCTCGAACAACCCGTTCGCGATCATCGACGACGACTCTGGGGAGACCCAGGAGCAGAGACGGCTCCTCGCACGCAAGAGCTACCTGGAGTGCGAATATGCTGAGCGGCGACGACATGCTGAGAACGCCCGGAACCGTGTCTACCAGCTGTGGAACCCAGGGGACTTGGTCTACTTCTGGCGAGACGGCAAAGAACGTGAGAACCGACCTGGGAAGAAAAAGGGCTGGCACGGACCCGCTCGAGTACTTGTTCGAGAGAAGCGTCGCGTGGACGGCAGGACCCGGGCGACATCCGTGGTCTGGATCTCACATGGCAATGCGCTCATTCGCTGTGCCCCCGAACAACTCCGAGCCGCATCGGAAGCTGAGAAGATGATCAACGAGCTGCAGAAGCAAGCCAACCTTGGGAAGACGATGACGGAGATTCTGGAGACCGCCAAGTCGGGGACGTTCGAAGACCTTCTTGACCATCAGCGCCCAGGACTCCGAGAATACGAACCTGACGATAGACAGGACGAACCAGCTTCAGGATAACCTGCCGAACTACCACCTTCAGCGGACACCGAGGCGAACGACGCGCCCGCCGCATCACAGGCGACGACGCCGAGATCTTTAGCTCAGCCTGAAGACGAACCTGCAGCTCCACCGGAGGAAGCGCAACCCACAGTTCCTGCTGAAGCACCTCCTGCCGAAGAGCCACCTGCTCCACCTCCTGGTGAACCAGGACCCGCGGCACCAGCAGCACGAGCAGCATCTGTTCCACCGAGACCGAGCGGGGCGTCTTCATCATCAAAGGCATCGTCAGCACAACCACGACCTCGCTATCGAATGACACCAATGATGACATGGACCTCTGGGTGGACCTGTACAAGGACAAGTTGGACATCGCTCCTGGCAGCGACGAGCTCCAGACGGTCTACTTCGAGTACCTCTGCGAGAAGAACGGCAAGCAGGTCACCAAGACGATTGCGGCTCCGAACATGGCCGATAGCTTCCTCGCCAACCAGCGCCGCAAGGACAAAGTCGAGCTGACCTGATCCAAGATGAACGCCGAGGAACGGAAGTAGTTCGAGGTGGCCATCGCGAAGGAGGTCGGCAACTGGCAACAACATCAGGGACTACGACCCGTGCCAGCCCAACGAGTACAGGATGCTGCAGATGTCATTCGAGCACGCTGGCTCTTCACAAGAAAGTCGGACGGGAAGGCTAAGGCGCGGCTCGTCCTCCTCGGCTACCAGACGAAGGACCTCGGGAAGGAGCCCACTGCCAGTCCAACGACCTCCCGGCGGGCTCGCAACATCGCGCTGACCGTGGCCGCCGCGAACCACTGGAAGTTGATCAAAGGCGACGTGACATCGGCATTTCTTCAGGCGAACCAGCTCGAGAAGGACCTCTTCATTGAACCCGGTCCCGTGCTACGACGCGCATTCAACGCCAAGGAAGGCGAGGTGCTCAAGGTCATGAAGCCAGGGTACGGCATCGGCGAAGCTCCTCGTCACTGGTGGGAAACCGTGAATGCCGATTTCGCAAAGTTGGGACTTCAAGCGTGCGAGCTGGAACCCTGTCTAAGGCAAGTTCGGTGTCCGAAGACTTCTCGTCTCATTGGGTTGGCCATGGCTCATGTGGACGACTTCATCCTGGCTGGCGACAACAGCCACAGTCTCTGGACGAGCATCGTCGAGCAGATTCGCAAGCACTACAAGTGGGGCACCTGGGAGGACATGAACGACGACTCCATCAAGAGCCTCGAGCAGTGCGGTGTCACCATCGATGAGAACGACCAGGGCTTCTTTCTTCATCAGCACGCCTACGCGGACAAGATTCGAGAAGTTCAACCAGCTGATGGAGGCCGCCACCGTTCGACGGACACCTTGCGCGAGAGCGACCAGACAGACCATCCTGCGGGCCTTCTGTGGAGAGGTCTACTGGTTGGGCGTGAACACCATGCCCTTCGTGTTGTCGTGGGTGGCCGAGCTGCAGTCCAAGATCCCAAGCGGGACTCGCAACTTGTTCAGCGCGGCTAATAACATCGTGAAGATGATTAAGCAGCACCAGCACATGGGCCTCCAAATCTACAGGCACAACCTCGACGACC